AAGTTGCGCTCAACAAAAAGTTTGCCGTAGACGCTTCAGAATTTCAAATAGGCCAATTCTCTTTAAAATACACCCAAAAAGAATATTTCTATACTTGGAAACATAACTCGTGGAATAAAAATCAAGCTTCTACCACAGGTTGTTTCAACTACATTCATAAATAAATGCGAACTATTATTACAAGAAATCTTATGTGAGACACGTTGTACTCATCTTAAACCAGTTTTTGCAGACAATACAGTCTAGCGCCACCTTTTAGCCACTCTAGCTACTGTAATTTATCGAACAATTTCATTTTAAAACAACCGCAGTAGCACACCAAGTGCCTGGAGCATCTCTATGTTAAACATCGCTTCATTATAAATATGAATCAATTCTCTTTTGTCGGCAAAACTAGTCCTCCTAAACCGGCTGTTCGTAGGTTATTAATTAAATCAAAATCACACCTCCTTAGAATAACGATGGCTAATGGACCGTATCGGCTTATTGTGACCCACACACGCTCTGTTTGTTCTTAACACAATGCCATAGTCGAGGATTACGCCCACCGACTAGAACAAAGACCTCATAATTAATATAGCACAAACAACACCATTGTTTCAGACTTAATTTACACAGTTACTTCCCGTCGTTTGTTATATTGGAAGAGTATCACCCGTGTTCGAGTCGACGACGATGTTTAATGTTTTAAGCATTTCGTACATTTCGAATTTGACTATGAAACGGAAAGTTGCACCGCGAGACCGGAAGGAACGAAAACCCCGTACGGTAAATTCACAAGTTTCCGCTCTATGTAAGCCTTGATTGGCGACGTCAAACTACACTTGTCGAACTAAAAACATTGCAAGAGAAAAAAAGAGTGAAACAAGATGAAAAACAAACAATTCTAATTTACTCAAACTCTCGTCTTGGGATAGACTTAAAAAATAATGTACAGTCTGCGTGAAATTAGATAAGAGGCAAGAAGACACCCTTGTGGATTGCCGCTTGCAGACATCAAACTTCAAGATTACGTACAATGGGAAGATTATGTACGGAGTGGCTCAAGTTTTAACTTATTTCACACAATTAGCATTAACGAAAGCAAAGTTTTCTGAAATAAGCGTTAAGACGTTGTGTAAAAACAACATTTAGGCTTTTATTAATATCACTATTAGTAGTATTTCAACTTAAAAAAATACATAAGAATTCAGTAATTTTTTTTTAATTGTAATCATTTTTTTTTTAATAATTAACATAATTAAATTGAATCAAGGTAGTAATCAGAAATATCACATCTCTAATACACATCCCTACACTCGACACCAGTTGCCAAAATATCCTTAACAAAAACTATCCGTGCTACTTCTAAAAATTATCCCTTTCGTAAACATTTCCCGAAACCTCGGTGCGGCAATTCCTAAATCGTTCACGTTCCTTTGCCGACTCTGCGTTTCCATTTTTATTTTTCGACTGGAGAGCCTGCAGGTGGCGACTACAGCCCCCATCATCCGTACACGGAAACATACGTGTTATTAAAAAAAAATCCACCCCTCACTCTTTTAATCGAATTAAATCTAGTACCTCGTTTGTCACAAACGTCTCTCCAGCCCACCAAACCCGCAAATCGAGTTGGCGCAATCGACCAATAATTTGCACCCTTAAAAACGTGCCTCCCGATTTTTAGTCCCTTCTCCCCTCGTGACACATTGATTGATAATTATTATAAACGATAAAAAATGTATACACGTTCAACTTTAGCTTTTGTAACTTACAAGTGCTGAACGATCAATTACTGTCAGTTTACGCTCGACAAAGTTAAAAAGCTTCAACTTGTATTACTTTACTTTCAAAGTGGCAAAGTTCATGCTAATAACGGCGGACATTTTTTAACAACCCCCGGCAAGACGGTTTTAACGTTTTTTTAAGTAGAGGAAAAATCCAATTTTGACGTGTTAAATTGCCATTAGATTTTATTGGTTCAGGAAGCGGTTTAGACGACAATTCTATTGTTGTTATTTATTGCTGTTGCAAACTGTTTACTCTGACAAACAACCCCCGAAAAGTGACACGACACACGGCGTCACACCCCCCGATTTCTGACACGCAGGCGTTTTTAAAACCGGAAACGGAAACGTATTTTACATCCAAATTAGAACCAAAACTACCGAATACAAAACACGAAATAGTAGGAGAAAGTGAACCATATTGAATAAGGGCCAAATTAATTTAAAATTGCAAATACAAAGTGTACCATTATTTTAAGACATCAATGTGCGTTTTTCGTACGTTTTTCATATTTTTGTAATTAGGCAATTAGCTGCATATAATTAAAAAAATTATAAATTCCATAAATCTCTAGGCACCATATGTGCTTTGAAAAAATCGAACCCCCGTTAGTGTAAAAGAAAACTTTAACAAAACCGTAGATATAATGATGTTCTTTTTGATTTAAACTGGTGTGGCAAACTTTGAAGTAATATTTTACATTATAACCTCACGTACAGGCCCCCAGGTTTTACCATAAAATAACATCAAATCCACACATGTTCAACTGCCTGAAGCCCTAAAAGCCCTAAAATAAACTAGTATTTTTCTTCAATTGTCCTTTATTCCACGAAATACAACATATATCGAATATATAATAGTGCAGTCCTTTTAAATCACCCTGAATAGGGTGTATATGTATTACAGTCGCAAAAACAATTGTTTGTGTTTTAGATTTTCAAAAATACACATAAAATCAAATACAGACAAAATCATTAAAAACATTATGCTATTATAGCCCGGCGCATCCACCAAAACTGCCAAGTTAATTTTAGAATCTCAAAGTACCTTAACTAACTCCAAATATAAATATGTATTAATAAAAAATAAATTGCGTTAATAATGTTGAGTAAATTTTACAAAAAATTATTCATCACAGTGTTTGGACTGCAATTCACTTGTTGTGTTAGCTTATGGGCTCCGATTACTGTTTCATGACGTCGAATGAAGATGCACTTGTGGATTATTACCACGGCCATGGATTTGCCATCATCCATAAATTATAGCATGCAACCGGAGCTTTGTTTCCTTGGCAATTTCCCTCGGCAGAATAATGTTAAAGCCGGTTCTTACTTCGCCCAAAATAGATGTTCCAAACTACAATAATTAACATTTCGGCTATACTAAAGGTAACACGACCATATTTCAAATTTATAAAATTATGAGTACAAAGCTTGTTTAAATATTAGCATCTCGAAAATACAAAAGTTTTCACAAACATCGAAGTGCATAAATCAGCATTAACAATGATGCGCTTCATCCTCTAGTGATATCCATAAATCCCGAAATAGGAAATAATAAAAATCCCGAAATGGTACTGTAAAGATTTTCTCCGTTTCGCGAAATAACCTGCAGATTTTTCGGCGTATATGTTAATGTCACGTGGAGTAAAAATGTCGTTTTTTCGTCTTGTGCGATATAAATAATAATGCATGGGTTGTAATTGCAAATGCAGTTCGACTTGACCTCGAGACCTCAGTGAATTACGGCGTCGTTAGTGTACGGAACAATAACGGCAGTGCAGACTGTGTTTTCATATCTAATTAAAATCTCCCCGTTTCAATTTCCGCCATTGTGTTCAGCTTTTGAAACGTGTGGGGTTTGTATATGTTTTCATCCCGTATTTTCGGGGTACATCTGCTGATAATGTTTGTCTACGATATGGTTAAAACACAACAATATCCTATTTATGTGTCGCCGATTGTGTAGATTCTTCAAAGCCCGCGCACACACATACTCCACCAAACACAAAATCCGAATTATCTACCAAGGGATGTTCGTAATTAAGGAAAGGATTGTAAAATCACAGATTGTGCTCGGCTTCCACCAGTTTTATCTTGCAACGCGGTTTTGCTACGGAGAATATTAAATTTATAGCTACCTGTTATCATTGTTGCGAAATGAAGCTATTAATTCTATTCTCTCTCTCGAGATACTCCTATTAGATTTCCGAGGCTTTCTTAGTGAAACCGAAAACATGAATAAAAATACAACGAAAAGCGCTGCAATTTATTAGAGAAAAGAAGACGCACTAAGTTAATTAAAGTCTGAATAATTTCGACGGGATAATGCAAATTAAAGTGGAAATTTTAATTTCATAAATCGGCTGACTGATGAAAGTTAACTGTTTTCACCAAATAAAATAACAAATGAACACTATTTCCCATTTGCCATAACAATGTTATCACAAAAAGTGCTTTAATTTAGAAGCAGTAATTTATTAACTTAATTACTTTAACCTCTATTAGGTTGATGGTAAAACATTGTATAGAATTCCAGATAAATCTTTCTTTTATCTGATGTTTTCACTCAGGCTATCAAGGTGAGAAACGCTTATTTTGTTGTTGAGGCGATGGTAGTTTTAGTGCGTCTGTGAGCCATTGAGTTCCTTGAGCCTCATTGTTTGTAGATATGTATAAACATTTCTTACAACTATTAATCAAAAAAAAAAAATCGTTGTTTCATAAATCTGTTAACAAATTATACAAAACAGTACATAAACAAAAGTAGAGAAAATCGCGTAATTTTTTTATTTCGATTATGTTATGTGTAAATAATCAACCTGAGAAACAGTTGGTGTTTGATGTGTTAAGACAAAATTGATTGTCTAGCATATACATATAAATTAATTATAATATGTATATGTAATTTTATAAAAGTATGAATAAAGTTGTTAAAATTCATTACCAATGAAACCAGATGAATAAAACATCAAACACCATTTAGAAGCCATCCATCGCAGGAATTTTAACTTTCTAAGTTGTTTTCGTTATACGTAGAAATAAAATTCGATTATATGCGATTAAATTATCGTTTTTTAGAAAACAACGAGAAACGATTTCATAACAATTTTAAAAAAAACTAAAAAAATGATTAGCAAATCAGGAAACATAAATTAGTAGTATTGCACAAAACTCACAATTTTTATAATAAATCAACCATTGCCACCCCTCAATCAAACATCCCCAACTTACCTGCAAACTCGGATGACATCCCAAATCCAGCAACATCTTCACAACCCCCAAATGCCCCTTATTAACCCCAATGTGCAACGCTGTCTGTCTTCTCTTATTTCTCGCGTTCAAATCAGCCCCGGCATGAGCCAACAACTGCACGACAGCCGGTTCATCCCCGAAAGCCGCATGATGTACGGCCCTGTCTCCGTCTTTATCCTCGATCTCCACGTCGGCATGAAATCGCAAAAGCACCGTGATTACTTCCAAATGACCGTTCTGACTGGCGGCTTGCAGTGCCGTATGACCGGCGAAAACCCCATTCACGTCTGGTCCAATCCCGGCACCAGACGTGTTGCTCTGTTTTAGAACTTCCTCACATTTCTGAGCGTCACCATTAGCGGCAAATTTGACGAGTTCTTCGTTKACGTCGCCGGAGACATGGGTCTCAAAAAGTTTTTTAAGAAGAGCACTGAGTCGCTCGCCACTAGTCGTGCCGTGCATTGTACCGTCTTTGCTAGCCACTTTGGTGACGGCGAGAGGGTTGTAGGTCCAGGTCGTGTTGCAGACTTCAACCTTGAGGTCGTTGTCATTATAGATTTGTTGCACATGACCGATTTTTCCAAGTGTCTGAAAATTGCAAGAGGTTCAAACAATGACTAATTTTTTACAGACACTTACGGCTGCCATTCCATCGGCCCAATCTCCATGCCCCCTTTGAAGCATTTTCACGCGTTCCATGTCTGAACAAATCTGAACCATATCTCCGACCGCAAATTGTTGTTGAGGGGTTTCATTAAATCCAACTGAATTTGTAGGAGTCGCAACTTTAGTCAAAACGGCGGGATTAAAAGTCCACCTATTCCCACTACTATAAGCGACAACAATATCATGATCTTCATCAATCCCAACAACAGTCCCAACCCCATTCAAACACTCAAACATTCCATCAGTCCAGCCCCCATGTCCATGTTGCAAACTTTGAACAATCTCCAATTCCAAATCAACATTGACTTGATCCCCAATTTTCAACCCTGGAGGCCCTGAACGCCCAGGGCCTTGCTCTCCAAGACATGGCAAATGATCTCTGTATACATTTTGTCCTTTTGCATCATTCACAACTTTTAAATCGGCCATCCCTTCAAATCCCACCCTGTATAAATTTTTGGACCCGTTGTCCCACACAACGTACGCCGCTGATCTTGGACTTGCCGCAGACCAGTCCTGTATCTCCTGGACTTTCCCTCTACGTCCGTTGCCCCCATCTTGATCCTCCCATTGCCAATCCACCCCTCTTACAACCCGCGCCCCCGGAAAAATTCCACGTACCGCGATTTTCTTACTTTTGCGTCTCGTCTCGAGAAATGCGCGTTCGCTTCCGGGGGTCGTAATGCGATAGAATCTGTGCCGGAGTTGGTGTTTGTCTCCGTGATAACAGACAGAGCACAGGTCGTAGTTGCCACACTCCGCGCATTTCCAGCGGATTCCAAAGATTGGCTGTTGACGGCACGTGTCGCACATCGTGCCCTCGTGTTTCACCCCCGTGGGGGCGCTATCCAAAATACGCAAGTCGTATTGACCAGAACAACGATAGTTAGCGGCAGTGCCGTTGTCCCATACTACGACGACTTCATCAGGCGACTCAAAGTTGCGGACGGTGCCTACGTGGCCCTCACCGCCGTCCTATAAGGGCAAAATTAAGAGGGAAAGGATGAAAAAGGAGTTTCGTACCTGTTTGCCCCACTTCCAGTCGGGGCCGCGAATTATGCGAGCACCGACTCCTTCCATCATTACACGAGCAGTTCGGTTCACTCCAGGGGTTGCCCCCACGGCGTTGGCAATCTCCATTGTGATATATTTATTTTAAAAGTTTTGAATGTTCAGAGCTAATGTTGACATCACGGTTGACAGACTGACAGCTGAATAAGGGTTTTGTTGCCACTATGACAAAATCAAAACTCCCTAATAAGAAATAGTAATTTCCTAATTTTAAAAATATTCAAAAATGTTTTTAATGCTATTAAAATTCATTCATGAAGAATTTTTTACCAAMAAGATTTCARTTATGTTGCAAGTTTGCTACTAGCTAGTAATTTTCAAACTGTTATATTTCATTCCTGTTCTATCAGTTTTTTCAATTTAAAATTTCAAGAGTAATAGTACATTACAAGCGAGGTGGTAAATATGGCATTACCCCGAGTGCTTATGTATACGATCGAGAGGCGCTAGCTAGCTCAAGGGGTAATGCCATTACCACCGGTTTGTATGCTATTTTATTCACAATTACATTATTTTCAGTCAAAAATTTGAGTAAAATAAAATTCTAACAAAGTTAAGGTCCAAACGTGGTAGGCTATCCAAATGACGTTTGATTTTTGACATTTCAGAAATGTCAAAGAAAATATGAAATAATGTGTCAATCTGATTTAAAGTCGTCGAAATGGAGCAATGTACTCCCCCAGAATTAAGAGAAACTGCTACAAAAGCAATTGAATACTAATTTAGCGAAACTTGACAATTTAAAAGAACAAATTTCGGGTATTTTCGTAATTTTAACGTTGGCAATATTACCACCCAAGAGGAGTAACATTTATTACTCTTCATGAGAAATAATGACATGTTTCCCAACCTTAAAAAGGTTAGTAATCGGCACATTACATTAATGATTGTGAATAAAAGTTWTTGCTTGATTAACCCGTGAATCTGAGCATCTGCCTTTTGATTGCAATTAACTTAATGACGTTTCCATAAATCTGTCCTAGAATTTTAGAAATTAGGCCCCAAATTTGTTCTCTAAATGGTCTCTCTATTTATSTCAATTATAAATAAAATCGCGATTAAACAAGTCACTTTTTATTTCTCACGTTCTCTTACAAATAAATCGTAATAACCTATACAATCATTCTCAAGTCTGACTTAAAATAACCCTTTCTCCCTAATCCTAAGTCACTTTGTTGTGATGGTTACAAAATGTCTACATACACAATGCAATTTTATTACAAATAATGATACAACACAATAAAAAATACATAATTATTTTCTACTGGATGGCAATAGCAATTGCGTTGCATTCATAGCATCAGGAAACAAAGAATGATAGTTCAATAGGGGCACATACGCCGCTGTGATAACCCGTCCCGCAAACCAACGTCCATGTAACGAGTTGACTGACGCCACTGCCGTGGCTATAGACGGGCACTTAACATAAACATTTCCTTGCGGCGACCCTTTATCTACATAGACGTGTAGCACACCACCGTGTTTGTTACACTCTTCTATAACATCATCTCTAATCTCAACATCCCAAGTCTGAGTTGACTCCCTATGTAAAATAAAAAAATTAAGTCCAATTATTTGAAAACAAACGAAAAAACTTACGTTGCCGGATCAAACATATTACTCAACATAAAACATTGCGTAGCAATAGGTGGCGTTGAATTCGTTTGGACTTGTGGTACCACTGGCTGTCCAGTAGCTATACTCAGAGCGTTTGCTGCAGCTTGTGGTACTTGCATTCCAGCCCCCTCGGCCAATTTAAACATCAATTGCAAACGTCCCGTTGCACCTAAATCTATACCCGAACGATCCAACTCATCAGAATCGAGTATTGAAGGACCTTGCTGTTGCAAATCTAATCGTTCTGTAACATTTCCGACTTTCATAGGTCTACCTGCTAATTCAAACCCGTTCAATTGTTCCAAAGCTTTCTTTGCATCTTCGCAATTGCGAAACTGAAAACAGAAAAAGTCTACCATCGGTTTTATTCAAACTTGTGGAACTTACCGCTATAAACCCGTAACCCTTTGATCGCCCCGTTTCTGGGTCCATAATTAACTGAATATTGTCTATTTTACCAAAGGGCTCAAATATGCTCCTTAGCATATCTTCAGTTATATTGAAATGTAGCGACCCTACGTATAACCGCATCGGTCCTGTCATATTTTTGGGCATCAAATTAGGCATTGAATTGCCCATTCGATTTTTCTCAGCTTGCGTATGCTGAACAATAATTGGAACACCTAGTAATTTTTGACCCGACAATCCTAACGCCTGAAAAAATAACAATGTCAAAAACCCTTCTAGTTAGAGTAAAATCGATTCTCTTTTATTCAACTTACCAAAGTGACACTTTCCGGATCCTTAAACTCGATATAAGCAATCCCTTTGAACCTCCTAGTCTTATTACAAACAATCAACCGCACATCCCGAACTTTTCCAACCGAACTGAAGAACTCTTCTAAATCTCTCGCGCGTATCCTTTGTGATAACTGCATAACAAAAACCGTTCTGGCGTCCCTTTCCTCAGGACTGAGTTCTTCAACCGGCGAGTTCGACCGAAGACCCAACGGCGATCGGTTTCGTCGACCAAAAGGTTTAGCGACTGGTGAAGGCGATCGCCTGCGGTCCCGACTACGACTTCTTCGACCCCGACGATCTCTTCTGTCTCTCGATCGACTTCTTTTATCTTTGGAGCGCGATCTTCGGTCTTTGGAACGTGAGCGCCGATCTCTAGATCGTGATCGGCGGTCTCGAGCGGGACGATCTTTTGATCGAACACGATCACGACTCCTACTCCTCTTCCGATCCTTGTCGCCACTTCGACGTCTGTCACGTGACCGACTTTGGCTGCGACGGGTCCTGCTTGAACTGCGACGTTTTTTGCTTTAAAATATAATCCATTAGTTAAGATATTAGACAATGGATATGGAGAGACTTACTCTGAGCTTCTGTGTTTCCGTGAATCTCCATTTTCCTTGATTTTGCCATTGACTTCTTCCTACGAACAGCAACAAAGTGAAGAGGACCGCGCAGGTGGCGAAAACAGATAGCATTAATTATTTGTTTATTGATTGTAACAACTTACCAGTTGTTTGAAAAACATACATTTTTATAAATAACGTTTTACAAAAAATATTGGTCCATTTTGACTCTTTTTACAATTTATAACAGTTAGATTTGTAAAAATTGTCAAAATAGATTATAGGAATTACTTAAGTAGTTCATAAGCCTATAGATCTAAAACAAAGGGTTTGGTGGCCATTTTATTGTCGGAGCTGAAACTTAACAGTCGTCTAGCCGGAACTAGACTTACCGTCGTGTAGACTTAACAAAGGAACGTGGCGGAAAAACTTGATCCAGATCAATACTTCTGAAAAAATACACCGAATAAGACCATATCCTTTCAAATTTCTTGACTGACATGCAATAAACATTGCAATGTTGTCAAACTTGGCCGATTTTGTTGGGTCTTGGCCAACGTCACAAGACAAAAAAAAAAAAAAGAAACGAAAGCAAACCAAAAACGTGCAAAAAGTGAAGTGTGTGTCATAGGAGCCAAAACCCAACGACCGCATTTACTTAATTTTGTCAAAGACTAGGTTAAAAAACATGTATGTACTTTTTTACATTCCAACAAGTCCACCTTTGTGTCATACTAAAATGAGGCGTTTACCAATCGGATGATTGGTAGTTGTCAGGACGGTGATTGCGGGAAGTCCATTTCAGCAGCCCTATAGCGAGAAATTACCGATCAGCAACACGACATACAAAAACCATCATAATTATATGAACCACGTCAAGCTAATCTCACAAATTTGCAACTATTGGCTAAATAACTCAAAATTCGCGCCTTTACAAAGTGCAGCGCCTCTGGTGGTGTAACACTGCAATCTGAGCAGAAACTAACAAAAAAATATATATAAATGCACTGCCCTGCTCACGGGGCCTCCAATTATTTAGCCAACAGGACCGGCCTACATTAAATTTAACACCCTAACTGTAATCAATGACTTAAAACTAGGATAATCAGTACCTGAGTTGTTTACGTGAAGGCGTCGTTAGCCCGAAATATACCTCACACGTCTAAAATATAAAATTAGGAGGTGATGTAAGAGCCACAACAATATTCAAGAAATTAAGCAATGCGAATTGCAGGTTTAACACAGCCCCCACAATTCACACTGCGCCGTTTAAGAAATTGCTATAAATAACCAAAACTTACATCTTTTCTAAACGGGGCTTCGAGCATAGCCTCGACGTCCAGGTCTTCGGCCATTGCGGACGTTCGGCACTATTACTCCAAAATTAGTAAAAAATGTGTTAAAACGGCTTAAATCGATGTTAAAATACAACCGATACAAACGAATMGATTCGATACGACAAAATGGCGATAGTCGTTCTAGAATGTTGCCAAGTTACCAACCTTACAACATGACAACGCGCTAAATTTGAAAAAATGCCCCCATTTCGACTTGAGGCTCCGGAACGGCTGCCAACGCACAGCCGCAAGCCCCAGATTATCTACACCAAGAACCTGTACTCTGAGGGAGTGAAAGTCGAGTATTGGCAAGAACTGTTAGAACATCACCCAATTGATGTCGATCCGTACTGTCAAGGGAAAGTCAATTATTTTCTCTCGCATTATCACAGATTGGGCACAAGAGATGATAAGTCGTTCAGGACCACGACTGGAGACATGCTACAACAAGTCTTTATCAAAGACAAAATTTATCCGACCAAAAAGATGAAGAGTTTTTACACTTTTAACGAGTACTGGCTAATTTCATTTGGGGCACTTTTTATGTTTTTTTTTTTGCAGAAATGCGGAATGTTTGACCAAATATCCGGAAAGCCAGTGTCGCATGATATGTGCTGATGAATTTTTAACTAGCATGCAGCATAGTTATCAAATGCCTCGGCCGTACGTTATGCAAAGGGTAATTTTTTGGGGAAAGTTTGAGTTTGTCTTAATTTTGAATTTTAGTTGGGTTTTCCAAAAATCCCGTTTATGCGAAATGAGAAATATCGGCATGATCCGCCGGATCTAAGTAGTGAAAAATTCTATGGTGATAGTTTTGGCCGAGAAACTTGCCAATTGCAGAAATATAAAGGTTTTCGTACAGTTTCTTACAATCCAATGACTGGGAATTACACAAAGTCGCACTAAGAAAAAAATATATATTAAAAAAATTCATGTCTACAAATAAAAAATGTATAATGAAACTGATTAAAGCCATAAACTTATAACCTATGACGATACATTATTAAGAAATTTTTGAGCTGAGAATTTTTGTCACTTTCAGTAGCATACCTAAATATTCTAAGAAATACGAGTACACCAAAGGACATGAGCTACTGAATACATTTTTATATCTAGTTTAATAACATATCACTACAACTAAAACACAAGACAAGACGTAAAAAACCCACCTGTACTGTGGCAATGTAGCAAACCTAACAAAATAAAAAGCCAACAATAAAAAAAGTTTAACAACGTGAAAACTAACCGAAAACTGCAATTGTTTTAATATTTTAACAACCGATAATCCAGTCTGAAAAATAAACTGTGGTTAACGTTAACAACGATAAATATAACCTGTACAAGGCAATCGGGAACGTACTTAAAACGCAGTCCCACCCGAGACAATATTACGAGAAACTACGTCCAAGTACAAAAATTAATTCACTGTTTCACTACAGTCTGTAACATGAGAATGTAGAGCAACAGTTTGATAACATCATGTAAAAATACTTTCAGTCTATATTATGACGTCTATAACGAACTTAATTTGAAAAACATCCAAAGTGCATGCCAAAATTCTAATACACAAAAAACAAAGAACACAACCATTAACCCTAATCTACACAATTTTGAATTTGACAATGAGAAAACGTTTGAAAATCATAAGGTCACCATAGGCAACTGGGGTTTCAAGCTCTTGATTTAATAATAATCGGTCGAGATGACCAACATAATCAATGGAATCGTTTCCGTTTGAAACTCTTCCCTTTTGATTTGATCGGACGTTTCCTTTTTCTTTTACCGGCGGAGCTGGGGGAGGGGCCAAAATCGGTGATTTCATCACCGAGACTGCCCAAAGTGGTCAGTTGACGGCGTTTATGCTTCTCTGATTTGCTGACGGGGAGACGAGTCATGTACTCCTCCTCGTACTCCTCCTTCTCTTTCTGTTGCTTGGACAAGATTTGCTGAGCGCGACTGGTTTGGGACACCTCGAGGGGCGCATCGAGGTACTCCTCCCTCAAGTCTTGMATTATGGAGGAGGACAACATATGCTTCTTCGTGCGTTCTTGCAACCTTTTAGTGCGCTCTTGAGCCGTTTCGTCACCTACTCGTCACACAGTCTCTAAATGAATCAAAATTTGTAATCAAATAATTACCGATATAATGAACTGCGGATAGTTTTGGAGGTACATAGATGTCGCTTTTGGTCTTTTCTCCCGTGGTTTTTTCCAACTCTTCCTCACTTTCTGAATGGTCGATGAGATTGTCAGGGTTTGCCCTAAATGTGGTTGGGTCGTTGGCGTTGGTTCCGGTAACGGCAGTCTTCACAAGTTTATCAATCTGGTATTTGAGTTTATGATCTATGGGCCTGATTTTTTCCAGTACAGTTCTGATTTCGATTAATCTATCAATACAAGGGTCCCCTTCTATTTTTTCCCCTGAACATTTCCGCAAGACAACAAAAGTCAAATTGATGAGATAACTTAATAACATGTTGTACTTCATTTCTAGAAAGCTAAGACCCTGATCTGTTGATAATTCTCCCTTCCGGACCTTCTGAATCATATTATCAACCAACGAGGCCACATGTTGTGCACTCACATTCATTTCATTTAGCAAAACTAACGCCTGGGGCAAATCCCGATGTCCGATACTAACATCCGGTGCCTAAAATGAAAAACCATCAAAAAATCATTTATTTTGTTTAAATTCTAGGTTAGAAAAGTCCCGCGTTTAAGTCCCGAAAGCCGGAAAAATTTTCTTGCGAATTATGAATTTTCATCGAGATGAAAAATGGGCTCCATTTGCATAAAAATCTGTTCGCCATCTTTTATATCAAAAGCTTGACAGAAAAAATCGGGGGTAGTTTTTACATCGGAAAAGCGCGCTTTTCGACACGTTTTCACCACTTTTTTCGACAGAAAACACACGATACGCACCTGAACCATTTTGATCCGTCGATTTCGTAACTTAAAAATACATAACAATGCGTAAATTTTGTAAAAATAAGCTCAGCACGTGCAAAACTTTTATATTGAAGTGAGCTTTTTTGATCAACGATATCGGAAGGGTGGGGGTACGGCTTGTGACAGACTGTACACGGCGCGATGAAAAATTATGCGCGAATTTTTAAAAATCACAAACTAAAGCCTAAAATTCCAAAAACTCAAAAATAGAACAGAAAATGACTTAAAATGACAATTGCTAACCTCGAACAATTGACATTTGACATATGACGGAAGTCCACTTGATGACTTCATCGTGGGGCCCAACCAACTAACTGGAACACCATTTTTTTTTTACAATGAAAACATTCAGTATTTAATCAATTTTAGCCCAACAACCTGTCATTAACTCGTTTTGCGAAAAAAAATTTAACAAAGGTGCTATTGTAAACTTATTATTGCTGTTAATTGCGCATCATCATTTTGTTGTGTTCCCATCATTTCAGTCACCATTAATTTGGGATATTTAGAACTAATGTGTAATTTTAGCACAAGTATAGCGCTTCCTGGCGTTAGGAGTTTGAGAATAGGTATGAAAGAAACGCTTTAATTAATTCAGAAACTTTATTAAACTTGAAGCAAGTAATAAACATTAAATATTCGATCGAATAAATAAACTGTATACAAAAGAAAAACAAAACTTTCGGTAACAGTCGACATGACCAGATTGGTTACACAAAAAATAAAACTAATCACAAAAACAAATGCTTAATAATAACAATAATAACTCACAGAGTAAGTAGTGCTCTGGACACGTCATTCGTTTAATAATATCAATACCGTGTAAGATCCACCAACAGATATCACTAGTTCCATAAACCTATGCCAGAACTACATATTAATCCAATACATAGAAACTGTCTTACATGATTATAATGATCACATATAAATAATAAAGTGAGAAAATGAAAGGTTCACTAAAAATTAGTAAAGTCAGTCAAGTAACTAAAAATAAGTAGTCTCGTATTTTTTGTTTTAATCTTAAGTTAATAGATTTTTCTACTAAACCAACAATTTTAAACACTTGTCAAAAAACACAACACATCAAACCCTTTTAAAAATGTTACAAACTGTGTACGAAAAATAGGCAACTATCCATAGAGTACAAAACGATTTTTTATATTTTTTACTATTCTAACGTTAATAAACAAATTGAGCCCGAAGAAAAAAATTTCGTACGAAAGAACAAAAATTGCTTTTCTTAAAACGTAATTCGATGTTTGTGTCAAACATCTGATGTATCGACTTCGTCGGCGCTGAGGACGCAAGTGGGTTCGCCTGTGCGCGTGGATAGATATTGTTTGGCATCGAAACTCTCCACAGTCTGTAAAAAAAAATCTTAACTTTGGTCAAAAATAGGAAAAAACACTTACATTGCGGATTAAAAACGGATACTCCTTTGAGATTCTCTCCCAATCACTTGGTACCGTTAAACACAACGGTGACATGGCCAAATGAGCCAAAAATTCGATCGTATACACCAAAGTCGTCTTAGTTATTTGTTCGGTAGGCGACGATTTGCCTTTGATTATTTCTTCGATAGGCGTATGGGGTTTGCGTAGTTTCCTCAAAACTAAAATTTGCGGTGTTAGAAAAAAGGGGGCTTTGGCAAACCCCCTGAGGAGTTAAATCGAAAAGAATGAAATAGAAACAACGATTTATTCAATCCCAATTTACACAATACGACTACAAAGTGCGATACAGAGTGATTCAACTAACCTTTACCTGAGTCGTCGMTTTGTCCATTTGTGATCACTCCAGGAGAAGGGATGGATTCGGGTGGAGAGAGCGGTSCGTCCTCTACGCCTGCGACGATTGGTTGAGGGAGACTATCGAAACTGTAAAATTGTTCGTGTATTGGTTCCCCTGAGAAATATTCCTCCAAAACCAATTTGCTCGTCTGAAAATGTAACTTTAACCACGAGAACAAGCAACGATCAGAGACAACTCACTCGAACTAAATCGAGATTATCACCGGTGATTTTGATAGTGTGGCCATTGGTGACTACGCTGTATTTGTATTCGCCAATATTGGCGTCGTTTGTGCTCAAACTGTGCAATAAAGCTCTTGATGCTCTGGCTGATGATGGTAGAGCACTATCATCAGAAGCAGAAGAGTTGATACTAGAACTGGAGCCTGTTAGAGGGCCACCGACGGCCATGTCGTGTTCTCTAACAGGGGAAGCGTTCCGTCGAATCGTGTCTTCGATTAATCGTTTAGCATGACTACAACCCCCATCATTCAAAAGCGACCTTTAACAAATCTAAAACTTACTTGATGCTTTCTTCGTTCGCTCCGGTAATCTGAACCAGTCTCTCCTTAGCACCGGGATTGACTGAAAATGTATCAACGTTACCAAAAAATGGACACAAACGACGAACAATCAAGCCATTCCTGTCATTAATCAAGAGAAAAATAATAAAATAATCAAACGCACACACAATGATGGTATTATTTGCGATCATGCCCTTGTTTAGAGTATTACGGCTAATAAAAAAATGAATGGTGAAGCACTATCGACCTGCACGACTAGGTGATAATTAGTCGTTAAAAATCATAATTAAAACAAAAACACAGATTTAGTGCCAAGTTCTCGTTAAGAAAGACAAGCGAGCATTGTGTTTGAAGCGTTTACCTCGCTGAAACGAAATGATCGTTTCACTAAGCTCTTCAATCATATGAACACGCCTTCCTTTGATACCCATTACTATAAATAAACAGTTTTTCATTGCATTTTAAATGTCTCATTCGCTTAATGTGTGCGCCGGCAATGTAGTAAACACCTACCTTTACCCGAATCTGCATTCCTGATTACCACCTCGTCCTTGCAATACTTTTTACCCGGAATTCGAGTCGGTTTGCTGAACTTCCCTGAAGGCTTCAGCACTTCACCAGGACCCAGAAGTGGCGGCGACGCCGACATCGTCATAGAACACATCGATTCGTTTAAACTAGTAGCAGAGTCAGACATGTCTATCTAAAATTACAGAAACCTGTATTATCCATACCAGTGTGTTTTGTAATGTTCACAAAAAGGTTTTCAACGTTGTTTACTGTTATTATGCAACATGTTAACGTAATTAAGGCAATCACATGCCCACTTTTTTGTGATTTTCCGGTGTTTACCTGCACATATTCATTTGCTTTTCGCCTGTAATACTGATCCATGACTTCTGTGCCCTTCCATCCTTTTGCTCTCAGTTCGATGAGCTCGAGCAAGTGTAATCGCGAAAGAATGTCGCCTCGACTAATGTCCTGGGCTGTGTCCCGAAAAATCTTAAATGCGTGGTCTAATTGTTCCTTGTAGAGTATTTCCAAGTATGCGCCATACACCTACCGATAGAAAACAATAAAGATATCACAGTTTCTCTTTGATTTACCTTCAAATGTTGACACAAATTGATTATACTGTCCTTGTATGAGATGTTGGGGTCCACGGCAGTGGAAGCGAGCAACGCCGCCACTTGATCCACGGCTTGAAGTACGTTCTCGACTGTAGRTAAGATAAGAGRGTGAGTAGGTCAGAAGTGAATACAAATTTACCTGTGGTAAGGACCCCATCCTGTCTCAGTTTATTGGCGAGAATCTGAGCCTGGCTGTGCGATTTCATCAGTTCGTGCTTCTTGGGGTGCTTGAGGCGGGACGAGATGCCCAGAGACATTTTCGATTCGTTAAATTGGAAATTTTGACCTGGAAAGAGGCACCATGAGAAAAATTATATGTAAAAAGGACAAAAAGCGAGTGACTCATTGTAAAAACTTTTGACTGAAGAAGTTATTTTCGCACAGTGTTATTTAAAGAGGACGACGTGTTAATAAAGACGCTACTGGTTTAATTACAAATGTCAAGAATCAATTACAAGCAATTACCCTGTAATTATTTTCCTACTTATTTATTGAAATTCAGACGCAACTGGCACAGCTGGCCGTGCACGCAAAGCCAATGCGAAATTTGCACGCGCCTGCGCATTCAACGGCGCCAAATTCAAAATTTATACAAGTTTTATAAATAAATTCAACGATTTTTTCAAAAAATCTTTCAGAAACTATAAATTACAAGTATGATTAATGATGCGTCAGCTCGGCTTTGTCTCCGCTCGGGGAAAGGACGAGGCAAAGTAGCGGCAAATTCAAATTTGTAACAAGTCAAAATGAATAAATTTATTTCAGACCATGATAAAATAAAAAAATATATAAAAATCATATAAAACAATCAACAATTCAATTAAAACAAAAGATGACGTAAAAAGAGTCGAATAATATCAAAAATATGATCCAACAGACACCAATTTGAATAAGATTTCGATGCTTGGCAAATATTGCAATACTGACTTTTGATTACGTTGCACTAACCTACCTTGTTTTACACTCACACATCTATAAATTCGGATTAAAACGATGATGAGTCGAGTTCATCACGTCGAAAAAGGCTTAAATCTAATTAGTAAAATCTGGAAACGCAGAATTGCGCGCAAGCATAAATACAATTATTTACAAGATCAAAATCACAAAATCGCTTTTAGCCTTACCAAACATATTTTTTAGTGAAACGATTTCACTTAACAATCACAAATCATTCTCCCATAACAAAATTTCTCTAATAAGTAGGAAACCAAATCTAAACAAATCCCGCCACAGAGGGCGCTTTCTTTAAACTCAATGGTGTATTTTCGCGATATGCGCCTTGAGATAGCCCGGGCTTTTAAAATATCGGTTGCATTTGTCACACTGGAAACTTTTAAACTGAAATTGTTGTTTTAATTTTGGGTTAATGTAAGGATTGCCTCGAGTCCGACACCGGACACTGTGGTGCGAAAAGGCGCGTCTTTGCTGCCCCAAATCCCCCACCAACTTGTCGAGCATTTGCACGGAGTTCTGTGGTTCAACATAGTCGTCTACAGGTTCCTGTTTTATCGGATTCTCCTCAATTTCGAAATTCTCTTTCTTGATCTCGGTGTCACTATATGAAGTTTCCACATAATAGTTGCAAGAAAAATTCGTTTCGCAGTCGTCGTAGTCGTACTCTGTTTTGATTTTGATATCGGGCTCAACAACGACTTCTTCCGACTTGACTTCCGCTTCGCCCGGTTCAGGGATGTAGGAGTCAAACATGTCGTCGCCGTCGTCGTCGTCGCTTTCTGAAAGGTTGTCCTTATTCTCAATGATGTAAAGGATGGTGTTTCTAAATTCAGCAAAGTTGTTGAGGAAAAATGTGTTGGTGAAGTTGGTGAGTCGAGTCAAGGGAGTGGCATCGCTCAGAAGGCAGTTGTTGTGGTTGCCATCGTATTTGTAGCCAAAATCAAAGTTTTTCGTGAAATCGATTATACTACGAAGACCTCCCTTGTAGACCGATTTTGGCTCCCGTTTTTTCCGCGGGGTTTTCTCCTTTCGCATGTGGTTTTTCCGGGACAGAAGAAGTTTCTTAAGGAGGGAACATCGCTGGTATTTGGTGATGCGTTTCCGCTTGAGGGCATTTTTACAAATGGGGGTAAGAGTGACTCTCAGTTCAGAATTAACAAACGATTCGGGAGTGATTTTGTTTGAAGCGCTGATGAGTTCAGTTAGATATCCTTGAAGGACTTTCGTTGACTGTTTACACATGTTGTGAAAATCGTACGACATTCGTAACTTCTTAACGCATTGAAGACATATTTGTGTTGACAAACTTTCTCTGTTGATAATCTGGAAAAAAATCAATAGGTCAACAGAGGTGTCATAAAACCTTGGACACAATTACCATTTTCGTGCACGACTCGAGTTTCTCACTGAATGTCACATAATCAAAATCAACAGTGTTTATGTCCAACAACTTCACACCTGTTTTTATACAAATTCGACAGAATTTCGCCAAATAATACATTATTTATAATTTTTGTATAATTGTCAATCATGAGTATCATATGTCAAAATGTCACCTGTCAACCCGTTGCGCAGCATAACAAAACAAATGACAACTATATCGCCAACCTAACGAAACTAAAGACCGTTTCACTGCCGCTAGGTTGGCACTTATGACAAGTCGGTGACGTTTGTCGACGTGTCTGCACATTTTCGCCCCCCTGAATCAAAATAGTTCACGTGTCGTCTCCAGTCGCTTCACAACCACGTACACAAACCCTCGACCTCAACAATGGTGAGTTTTCCACACAACTCTGAGTGAAAATTTTCGAATTTTTGTGATTTTAGCCGGCCCCAGCTAGTTCGACAACGGTAGGATCTGGGGGCAGGTCGCCGTCGAAAACTGTGGCCCCTAGATCTGGCGGCGGAGGTACCGTTAGACAAAGAAAGACCACGTCCACTGCACCCGCTAGGAGAAATACAGGGGCGGGTTCAGGTGGTATGTGGAGATTCTACACTGATGATTCTCCAGGAATTAAAGTGTGAGTTGTTTTTGCCATAAAATTATTGAATTTTTCTTAATGGTGCGTTGCAGAGGTCCCGTCCCGGTTCTTGTAATGTCGCTATTGTTCATTGCTTCCGTATTTATGCTACACATATGGGGAAAGTATACTAGGTCTTGAATTACATTCATCATTCCTTCTTCCGTTATTAATTTAATGCATTTTCATAAACTTACATTTTATATTGTTACATTCAGAGTTGGAAAAAAATAAAGATTTTATAACGATACCGTTTTTTTAGTGTCAATATGGTCCTTGATTTTTTGTTTTATTTGTTCCCCTATGGATCTATCAATACCAAAAGGAGACTAATTTTATTTAAGAAACTACACTTTTAACTTTTAGAACCCTAATATTCATGTTTATCTACCCTCTATACAACATAATTATAGTGGCAAAAGCCCTAAAAAAATTGTAATCGCACTGCTAATTTTTGATGTTTGGGTTCGCATTTACACTACTTATTATTTTTATTCTTATCACTTTTTAACAGGTAAACGCAATATTTTTGCTATTATCACTAATCGGTCTATGAATTCAATTATCGACAATCCTTTTGTTTACGGATTTATTCAGTTCATTAATGGAAAAATTGTGTTTTTATCATAGAAAAAATAATAACTGAGATCAAAGCAGCGTATTCTGACATACTAATCTGTTTTAATGCTCTTGTTTTGCGTATGAAATGGATATTGATAATTAAAAAAAATGCTCATAAAATTCTATATAAATTTATTATGCTATTGCATGATACACACTCTGCAGTACATCATTCACACATTTTTTATTCAATAAATTACAGTAAATTATAAATAATAATACATTATAAAAAGCATTATAATATTGAAATTACACCCTATCTACGCCTAATAATAAGAGAATTGTGATGTACTCGTAGGTATATGTCCAACCCAAAAAAATATACTAAAACAAAACCTAACAAAAAAATATATATAGTTTGACAGCACCATATTTAGTATAACTCCTCTCAAATACAATAATAAATATGAGAATAACGACTACAAAAGTTGAACTTATGGAAGTAATCTAAACTTTTTAAGTACTTGTCTTTTGTATTGCATACCGGTAAATATTGGTTGGACCATCGGTATATCAATTGACAAGTATTTAATAACACGGACATACAGTCTTGCAACATTTTTAAAAAACCAACAACGAAAAAACAACATACGTAACAAAACGAATTTTACTAGAAAAAAGCCAATCGGATTGCTACAAAATTATAACATTTTGTAAAAATAAATGTACAAAAATTAAGTTTCCGACGAAACTAAGACCGGCTCTATAAGCAACAATTGTATGAAGAAAGTGCATTACGAGCTCCCGACCGTTTTAAAAAATATACAAGCTGCACCCTTAACTTTATACAAGGCAAACTCTTTTTTGTTTATACAAATCTAAATTTAATGCAAGTCCTCAACAATCTGCTTATGGAATATCACACACACGTTAAAACCAGGCCGAATTTCAGGAAGCGTACATTCGGTTGATTTCGTGCTTATAGCGCTCTTGAATATCTTTCCTCTTGAGCTTGAAGGCGGCAGTGACCAACCCCATATCAGGCGACCACACCTCCGTCACTAGCTTCACGGCCGCTGGTAGCTCGAATTTTTCCAATTTACCTAAACCGACGGTTAAATCTCACCCAAACTCCCCAGAAAATACTCACTTTTTTTTCCGTGTTCCATCAATTCGGCGATCACAACCTTTTCCATTTCGGGTGACTGACACAACTCCTCGAAAGTCAAAGCCCCAACTCCCTTCTTCGTCGCCAATTCCTTTAATTGCTGTTGGTTGGGCACCACTAACGCTACACAGAATTGCTTCGTGGAGTCTCCGTAGACACAGATGTTGTCAATGAGAGGGCAAGTTTTTAATTGGGCTTCAACTTTGCCCAAACTGACATATTCACCRGCTTGCAACTTAACGAGATCCTTCTTGCGGTCTAAAATCTTGGTTTTAACCCAAGTCGGTAACTTCATTCCCGGACTTACCGATGATCTTAACGACGCCATCCGGATGAATTTCCCCGATATCCCCGGTCCTGAACCACCTCCTGTCGTCGACATCCGTGAAATCTTCGTTTGTTTTATCAGGCAATTTGTAATAACCAGCGCTAATATTATCACCACCTAAAATAATTTCACCCCGAGGGAACGGCTTATCAGTCACACGGTAATTCCCTTCTTCCCAATTTACTAATTTAATATCACATACGGTAGTCGTGGCCCCTACGCGGCCGTAAATTCTATCGTAAACTAAAAACAACAAATCAAATATTTCAAAACAAAAAAAAAAACTATTAACATTACAATCTTGGACTGTGGCACACGACGTCGATTCAGTCAAACCATAACCCTGGATAATTGTAGCGCAAAGACAAGCATTCATTTGTTCGTGAGTTTCGGGCGATAGTGGCGCCCCTCCTGACAAGATCAGTCTCACTCGGCCTCCCAAAATTGCTCGAATTGGCCCAAAAACGACACGATCTATCAACGGAGTCGAGTAACCACGTCTCATCCAACTGACTTTATAATCGTACGCGAATTTAAACAAAACCTTCTTCAAAGGACCCCCTTTGCTGACCTTTTCTTGAATACTTTTCGATATCCTGTCGAGGATCAACTAAAAAAAAAATTGGTTATCTTTGACGTATTCACTCGAATTGCTTTGTATTACTGGAACGCTGGTCATACAAGTTGGGTGTAAAACAGTGGCGTCCCCTTTCGTTCCCTTCTTGATCTTACTCGCCGAATCAATCATAGTCAAAGCACTTGAATAACCTATCGAGACTCCGGTTAATAAGCAAACACTCTCGACCAACAATTCGAATACGTGGGCCAACGGCAGAAAACCGATCATGACATCATCTTGGAAAATATCGGTCGAATCACAGAATGCCTTCAAAGTCGCGATCAGATTCTTATGAAGCAAAATCACTCCTTTAGGCACTCCAGTCGAGCCACTCGTGTACATGATAATCGCAACATCATCACTTTTCGGTGGCACGTCAACTGTCAAACAAACCGATAACAAAAAAATCATCAACCAAAGCAAAATAAATACTAACCGACTTGGGAATTCGCTCCTTGTTTTAAAACGTCGCTAAATTTGATAATTTCGACGCCTTCTTTAAAACCGGTTTCTTCGAGAGTCTTCAACTGATCTTCCATGTAGATGAGCGTTTTGACTTTAGGGACCATAGCGAGAATTTTCTTGAATTTGGGCATAAGCTCAAAACTGGTTATAACCGTCGTGACTTCGGTTTCGTTCAAGCCGTGAGCAATAGCCTCGTCGCCGAGCGTAGCGTAGATGGTAACCAATGGAATGCTTTGTTTGAAAATGCCGTGCGCTGCAATCATCCACTCGGCCCTAGTTTCGGCGAAGATCGCCACGTTTTGGCCAGGTTCGTTGCCCAACTCACGGATGCCTTTGCCGAAATTCGTGGCCAACATATTTACCTCCGAAAATGTCTTCCACTTGTAATCACCCATATTGTACTAAACAGACAACTGACAATAAGAAAATTTAATTGGGAGACTCGACGCTTACTTTCTTAAAAACGCGTCCGTTCTTCTGAACTTCATCCTCTTCGGCGAGGATTTCTCTTGTTCCTAAGCACCGTTTGTTTGAGTAAGCTGTACTGACATAATCGAACATCTTTGCCATGGTATCGATCTTCTCTTGGACGAGTTTTATATGGACTTTACCCGGTTGGGTGGTTGACCTGTAGGTGATGATTTTGGTATCTTGTGTGATCGGTTTGGCCTAAATTGGAACAAAATTCGGGTTTCAAAAAATGGGAATTACATTTCGACGGAACGGCATTACGTAGACTCGTTCCGCTCGGTTGTCATAACGAAAGACATTTAACATAACAAGATTAATTGTGATAATGTGAAATTAGTTCTTGGTTATTAAATACTCACCGCAGGCACAGATAAATAATACAATAAAAAAGCTAAAATAATTGCAATAGTGATCATGCAATTCTTCATAAAAAAATAATATACATGCAAAACATGGATTAATTATTATCCCACGTAATCGAAAGGAATAATACGATTATTAATTAAGTAATTGTTAGGAAATAAGTGCGTCACAGGTTCGAAATTGTAAATTGTGTATATTGTCGTGTTGTTATGTTGTTAAAATTGTGAGGACCTGTCAAATTCAGTTGGGAAAAATCCAAGACGAGTTATTGTAATAAAAGACTACGCTATTAGAAATGTGAGAAGAAATATAGAGAATTAAATTTTTCACAAAAAGTTATCAGGCTTAAGTGAGCCTGGAAAGGGTTTAAAACTACCTCAAGAAAAGTTTAAAAGTTGAAATTTTAATTATGGAAATTATAATTTCCTAAAGTTTCGGTTGCAAAACACTACAAATTGAATTTTAACACATCATTACGAATTTAAAAATCTAAATTTTGAATTATAAAATTGTAATTGAAAAAAATGCTCTGTATATGAAATAAATTCAAATGAATTTAAGAACAATAGTTTTCAGTTTGAAAGTAGGAACTTAATTTACAATATGAAAAGCTGTGGCATTTTCAAAAAAATATGTAATTCCGGATTAACAAAGAAAAGTTCTGAATTTTCAATTCGGAAAAAGTTTGAGAAATTAGAATTTCAAATTCTCATATACCAATTTCGAGTTTAATGCAAACTAATTAAATCCAATTCAACAACTGTACAGTTATTCTAAAATTAAAAAACCTTGAAATTATTTTTTTAATTATTTGCAAGAAAATATAATTTTCATTACAAAAAAGGCAATAAAAGTCAAATCTTGTCATAATTGGTTATAAAATTACTGCAAAATGTATTTGCTATTAAGAATTATTAAGAAGAATAAACATTTTAAAACCTATTTTTTTTTCTCCGTAACTCAAACAAATAACATAAAAATATCTTTTGTCTAAATTTTAAAAACTTAAATTAAAAACAAAATAAATCCTACAGCACGATAAGAAAGTTATCTTTAAGAACTGATATGAGTATAGTTTTTCATAGAAAAAAAAAGTATGTTTTTCAAAAAAATTAAGATATAGTAGTTAAAACACTTGTTTAAAACTTTTATTGTGAAAATTTAATTCTCTAGAATATTAGCTTTTCCGTCTCAATTTTTTTACATTTATTGAAAGCAAAATTGGTGTAATTTGACCGGCCTTGTACGTATTTCGATTAAATCTGTAAGAGAC